AGAGGGCAGTGTCACTGGCCCTCATATGTGGGATCCGAACCGGGGCCCTCTGGTGTCCCAAGCCAGTTCTTAACCATCGCGCCACTTGGCAGGCCCTTTAAATTTTTTTTAGCTGAGCCATCCTGCCACCTGTTGGCAGCTCAGCGGCAGCTCAGTTCAGGCCGGGACTTGAACTGCTGTTGCTCAGAGCTTGCACTCTTGAGTGAGCTCTTCACCAACTGAGCCACTCGGCCAGCTCTCTGGTAATTCTGTTTAATTTTATGAGGTAATGCCATATTCTCTTCTACAGCAGCTGCATTATTTTTCAGTCTCAGCAGCAATGAACAATGGTTCTTATTATTCTACATCTTCCCCCAACATCTGTTATTGTGTGTGTGTGTGTGTGTGTGTGTGTGTGTATGGGGGGTGTGTTTATTTTTGGTTTGGGTAACAGCCATCCTAATGGGAATGAAATGATATCTCCTTGTGATTTTGATAATAATAAGCAATGTTGAGCATCTTTTCATATGCTTATGGGCCATCTGTATATGGAGAAATGCCTGTTCTAGTCCTTTCCCTGTCTTTTAATTAGATTATTTGTTTCTTTATTGCTGAATTATGGGAATTTTGTGTATTCTGGATGTTAATCCCTCATCAAATATTTTGCAAATATATTTTCCCTTCTGTGGGTTGCCTTTCACTTTGTCAGTAAAGTTCTTCGTTGTATGAAAGTTTTTAATTTTTACAGTCTAATTTAGCCATTTTATCAATTTTATACACTTATTTTATTTTGTTGTGTTTGCTTTTGATGTCACATATGAGAAATCACTGCCAAATCCACTGACATAAAGATTTCCCCTTATGATTTCATCTAAATTTTACATTTTAAGTCTTATGTTTAGGTGTTGGGTTCAATTAGACCTAATATTTTAATATGGTGTAAGGCAAACAATGTCATTCTTTTGCACGGGGATATTCAGTTTTCCCAATGCCATTGGTTGAAAGATCTGGCTTTTTCTCCATTGAAAGGTCATGGCGCCTTTGTCAAAATTAATTGGATCATGTGTGCAAGGATTTATTTCTAGGCTCTCCATTCTATTCCATTGACCCATATGACTATATGCCTATCTTTATGACAGCACTACACTGTTTTGACTACTGTAGTAAGTTTTGAAACCAGGAAATGTAAGACTTCCAACTTTGTTCTTTTTCAAGAGTGTTTTGATTATTCAAGGTTACTTGTGATTCCATGTGAATTTAGGATGGCTTTTCCTATTTCTAAAAAAAAAGGCCCTGAGATTTTGATAGGGATTGCGCTGAATCTGTAGGTCGCCTTGGATAGTACTGATAGTACTGATGTTTTAGCAACATTAAGCCTTCCAATACATGAAGATGATCTGTCTTTCCATTTATTTCTGTATTCTTTCATTTCTTTCAGCAATGTTTTGTAGTTTTCTATTACCTTCTGATTTTAGTCATTTAGTCTTCTGTTTTCTTAGTTGGTCTAGCTAAAGGTTTTTCAGTATTTAACAAGGAATTATATTTTTTTATGGTTTTGTGTTGCTGTCTATCACTATTTCGTTTCAACTAGTAGTACTCCTTTCCCCATTTCTTGTAGGATAGGTCTAGTAGTAATAAACACCTCCAGCTTTTGCTCATCTGGGAAAGTCTTGATGTCTCCTTAGTTTTTTGAAGGATATTTTGGCAAGATACAGTATTTTTGGTTGGTAGTCTTTTTTTTTTCCTTTCAGTAATTTGAATGTATCATTCTAGTCTTTTATAGCCTGCAAGTTTTCTGCTAAGAACTCTGCTGACAATCTAATAGGACCTCCCTTGTATGTAACAGTCACTTTTTTTCTTGATGCTTTCAAGACTCTGTCTTTATTTGTGATTTTTGACAGTTTATACTGTGTCTCAGTATAGGTCCCTTTAATTGTTTTCAGAGTTTTTTCAGCTTCTTGAATTTGTATGTCCATTTCCTTCCTCAGATTTGGAAAATTTTTGACCATTCTTTCTTCAAGTAGCCTATCTGCCCCTTTCTCTCTTCCTTCTCCTTCTGAGACTATGATAAAGCATATGTCATTTCATTTGATGGCATCTCATAAGTCCCTTAGGCTCTCTTCATTTTTCTTCATTCCTTTTTACTTCTTCCTCTCTTTCATTAACTATGAAAGTCCTGTCTTTGAGTTTGCCGAATTGTTGTTCTGCCTGGTGTCTTTGCATTCATTGAGCATCCTTATAATAGTAATGTTGAATTCCTTGTCTGTCAATTCATGTATCTCTATTACTTTAGGTTTGGTTTCTATATATGTAATTGGTTCCTTTAAACATCACTTGATTGTCTCTTTTTTAGTATGACTTGTTGCTGTTGTTGTTATGGTTGTGTCTGGGATTTGGGCATCTAAAAAAATCAGCTAACTTTCTGAGACTGCTATCTGGTTTCATCCAGGGTGACTTTCTTCACACAGCTAGGCTACAGATTATGGATACCTCTCAAGTCCTTCCTGGTCTTATGTGTATAAAATCTACTTTAAGAGATCTGTCAGTTTCTACTCAGGAACTTGCTCTGGTCTCTCTAGTGTTGGGGCTCCCCCTAATGTCTATCTGTGGTGCTGCACACCCTGATGCATAGTTTTTACCTTTGTTGTAGGAGACCCCACAACATGAACCCTGTCCCGGAGTAGTACTGGAATACAGGGAAGACAGACACTAGTCTTTTCTACAGCTCTCTGAATGCCAGTTGGACTCACATTCTACTTCTTTCTCTCCCCAAGGAGATGATGGGAGTTGAAGGTTTTCTCCTAGTTATTCTGCACTGTGTGTGTGTGTGTGTGTGTGTGTGTGTGTGTGTGTGTGTGTGTGTGTGTGTGNCCTAGGGGGCAGAGCTGTGCCATGAGGTCAGCGAGGACCTCACTCGCCCAAGGCCGGCCCCTCCGCGCGCTGGTCCTGGCGGTGCTCCTGCTCGACTCTCTGGGCGAGGATTTCATGTTTCACCCTGAGTGGGGCTTTGACGCCTATGAAATCACCATCCCCAAGAAGCTGAGCGTCCGCGGAGGGGCGCAGGGGGCGAGCAAGCTCGAGGCCTACCTCCTGCAGGTGAAAGGCAAGAAGCATGTCCTGCACCTGTGGCCCAAGAGGTTCCTGCTGCCGCGCCACCTGCAGGTGTTCTCCTTCACGGAGCAGGGGCAGCACCTGGAGGATTACCCGTACATCCCCAGGGACTGCAACTACGTGGGCGCGGTGGAAGGCTCCGGGGATTCGGAGGCTACTGTCAGTACGTGCATGGGGGGTCTCCGCGGCATCTTGAGAATCGACGCCAAGCATTACCAAATCGAGCCCCTCAAGGCCTCTTCCACTTTTGAACACGTCGTGTATTTCCTGAAGGACGACGGATTGCACCAGCCCCTCTGCGGCTTAACTAAGGGCGACATAGAGCAGCAGGGGGCGCCATATGCCGGCAGCGCCAGGCTGGGGGACTTGACTGGAATCATTAGGCACCAGCGGTACTTGGAATTAGCCTTGATCTTTGATCATGAGAGATATTTGTATTCCAATTCCAATGTTTCTGAAGTCACAAACGATGCCATTCTTCTGACTTCCATTATGGACACTTACTTTCAGGAGCTGCATTTGAGAATACAACTCGGCACGGTTGAAGTATGGACGGACCAAAACAGAGTCGACGTTGTGTTTCCAACCTTACAGCAGGCGTTAGGCCAGTTTATGATATATCAGAGAAACGTACTAAGTCGTCAGCTTTCCGCAGATTGGGTACAACTGTACGTTAAAAGAGATTATATTGATGCTCTTGCGTGGTCCTGGGGAAGAGTGTGTGTTAAGGAATACGCTGGTTCTATAAGTGTTTTTCCAGATATGAGTGTCCTCGGACCTGCCACTTGGGGCACTCACAACCTGGGCCATAGCGTGGGAATGATACACGACGGGCCTTACTGCCGATGCAAGGGGAGGCGCAGCTGCATTATGGGCACCGGGCGAACTGGGTTCAGCAATTGTAGTTATATCCAGTTTTTAAGCCACGTCCGTAGACATGCAGACTGTCTCAATGATATCCCTGGACATAGTTATGTGGTGAAGAGATGTGGAAACAAAATTGTGGAAGACGATGAGCAGTGTGACTGTGGCTCCCTCGAGGACTGCGAAGCAGACCAGTGCTGCGAGCCAGGGTGTAAATTCAGACACGGCGTCAACTGCAGCACCGGACTGTGCTGTCATAACTGTCACTTTCGTCCATCCGGGTATTTGTGTCGGAAGGAAGAAAATGAATGCGACCTCGCCGAGTACTGCGATGGGACCTCAGGTCTCTGCCCCAACGACACGTACAAGCAGGATGGGACCCCGTGCAAGCACAAAGCCCTGTGCTTCAGCAAGGGCTGCCGGTCCACCTACATGCAGTGCCAACACATTTTTGGACCTGACGCCAGGGAGGCTGCTCAGCAGTGCTACGATGCAGTGAATTTAATAGGGGACCAACATGGCAACTGTGGTATTTTGGGGAGTAGCTCCTATAAAAAGTGTACCAAGCGGCACACATTATGTGGCAGGGTCCAGTGCATCAATGTCGACACCCTCCCTGACATGCCAGATTATACGACTATCGTGTCCACGCACCTGCGGGACGAAAACGTCCTGTGCTGGGGCGTGGGCTATCACACGTCCTTGGTGCCCTTGGGGATTCCTGACGTTGGCGTGGTCCACGACGGCACGTTCTGCGGCGAGGACCGGATATGTGTGAACAGAACTTGTATGAGCACCTCCATCCTGAAGTTTGACTGTGAGCCTGAGAAGTACAACCGCCGGGGCACCTGCAACAACAACAGGAACTGCCACTGCGCGTACGGCTGGGCGCCTCCGTTCTGTGAGGAGATGGGGTACGGAGGAAGCATCGACAGCGGGCCGCCGGGACCGCGACCACCGGAGGTGCCCGCCTCTGCTAAGGTGGTGCCGCTGGTTCTAGGACGCCTGCTTTTGTTAGCCCTCTCCATGGTTGTTATCGGGATTTTCAGGCAATTGATAGGAAGCCAGGTAAAACCCCAACAGAAAGAAACACCACCACCGGCTGGTATTGTAGGTGAACAGCCGATTGCAGACAAACAACCGATTGTAGGTGAACAGCCGATTGTGGATAAACAACCGATTGTAGGTGAACAGCCGAAGCAACGAAAACTTATAAAAATAAAAAAAATAATCAAGAAATCCCTAGCCCCTCCAAAACAGAAGGGCAAACGTTGAACAAGGTTATTGTTTATCAAAATGGCTCTTCTTTCTTCTCCCAATTCTTTTTGACTTCATTTTCCTTCAAGATCGATCAGCAAATAAACAATATTCTTGTTTGGACAATAAATCGGTGCATTTTACTTTTCCTAGTATTCCTTTGCCCCTTGGTTTGTGAACAAGTTTTGGATAGCCTGAAAAGAACACCCTCGTGGCTTTTCTGAACACAAAAGCCGTGGCTGTTGTGAGTTTCATAGAATTACAGTGGTTTTCAGAGTGGAGTCCTGACTGTACATATACATTGTTAGTAATCAATACATTACATGAGATATTCAATACTTCGTCATGAAATAGGCTTTATGATAGATTATTTTACACAACTGGAGGCTAATGGAAGTGTTCTGAGCACATTTAAGGTAGGCAAGGGAAGTCTATGATGTTTGGTAGGTTAGATGCATTATATGCATTTTTGACTTACAATATTTTTAACTGATGATGTGTGTATGAGATATAACCCCATTGTAAGCCAAGGAGCATCTGTATATATCATATTTTGTTCATCTATGTATCCATCAATGGATATTTGTGTTGTTTCCACCTTTTAGCTTTTGAGAATACTGCTGTTATGAAAATGGTTGTACGGATATCTATTTGAGTCCCTGCTTTCACTCTTTTGTGTATATACCCAGTACAATTACTGGATCATATGGTAATTCTGTTTATTTTATTTATTTATTTATTTATTTTTAATTTTTTTTAATAAGGCTTCAGTAATTTTTTTAAAGATTTTTATTGGGGAATTGGGGGGATGGGAACAGTGCTGGGGAATTGGGGGAAGGGGAACAGACAAGTTGCTGTCCTTTT